AAAAGGGAAAAAGGGAAAAAGGGAAAAAGGGAAAAAGGGAAAAAGGGAAAAAGGGAAAGGATAATGGAATAATAGAAATAATCTAATCATGGAATTCTAAAATAATCCCCTTCGAGGCGGGATCAAACCTCCACTGAAAGGGGATCAAATCCCCCTTCCAGGTGGGATCAAAACCCCCTTTGAGGTGGGATCAAAACCGCACCAAGATGGGCTCAAACCCCCCCTGAGGTGGAATTCCAGGCGCAGCCCCCCCCCGGGCCCCCCCCCGCCCCCCCCCGACCCCCCCCCCCCTCTGGATCCCCCCCAGCTGACCCTGGATCCCCCCAAACCCCCCCTGGACCCCCCAGCTGACCCTGCTGTCGGAGCTGGGGCTCATCGTGTCCGTCATCCAGGAGCCGAAGCGGGATCCCGAGGCCCGGATGGTGATGGGGTTGCTGACCCCGGTCAGCTTCCCACAGCCTGGGAAAAGATGGAATTAGGGGAGGATCCGGGGGGAGTGGGACCGCCCAGAGCCCTCCGGGACAGGAGGGAGCAGGTCCCTTTATCCCGGGATCCAACCGGCCCATCCCGAGGGATCCGACCCATCCCAAGGGATCCGACCCATCCCGAGGGATCCGACCCATCCCATCCCAAGGGATCCGACCCATCCTGAGGGATCCAACCCATCCCAAGGTCTCTACCCCAAGGCAAGGGCCCCATTCCCAGATTCCTGGCTCCATTCCCAGATTCCTGGCTCCATTCCCAGATTCCTGGCTCCGTACCCAGCCTCTGGAGGCAGATCCAACCCATCCCAAGGTGTCTATTCCCATTTTCCCAGCCCTATTCCCAGTCCCATTCCTGGTTTCCATACCCAGCCTCTGGATGCAGGCGTGCAGCCGGGATCTCACCCATCCCATATTCCCAAGCTCCCCATTCCCAGTTTTCCATACCCAGCCTCTGGATGCAGGCGTGCAGCCGGGATCTCACCCATCCCATATTCCCAAGCTCCCCATTCCCATTTTTCCGTACCCAGCCTCTGGATGCAGGCGTGCAGCCAGGATCTCACCCATCCCAAGGGCTCTATTCCCATTTTCCCAGCCCCATTCCCAGTTTTCCAAAGGCTCCATACCCAGCCTCTGGATGCAGGCGTGCAGCCGGGATCTGACCCATCCCAAAGGCTCTATTCCCATTCCCAGATTCCCAGTTTTCCATACCCAGCCTCTGGATGCAGGCGTGCAGCCGGGATCTGACCCATCCCAAGGGCTCTATTCCCATTCCCATTCCCGGTTTTCCGTACCCAGCCTCTGGATGCAGGCGTGCAGCCAGGATCTGACCTATCCCATATTCCCAAGCTCCCCATTCCCATTCCCATTTTTCCGTACCCAGCCTCTGGATGCAGGCGTGCAGCCGGGCCTCGAGCAGGAGCAGCCGCTGCTGCAGCTCCTCGTAGTCGAAGGCTCCCATTTCCTCCTGGATGGAGAGGAGGGACCCGGAGAGGTTCCGAACCTCCCCCTTCAGGTGCACGATGAGCCGCGAGTCCGAGCGGTACTGCTCCAACACCGGGATCAGCGGGAGCAGCTCCGACATCCGCTGCTTCAGCTCCTGGGAAAAAACACCCAAAAATGGGATCAAATCCCTGGAATGGGATCAAACCCCCTCGGGGGCAGGAGGAGCCGCGAGTCCGAGTGGTACTGCTCCAAAACTGGGATTAATGGGAGCAGCTCCGACATCCGCTGCTTCAATTCCTGGGAAAGGATGGGAAAATCCCCCCTGGAATGGGATCAGACCCCCTGGAATGGGATCAAAGCCCCTGGAATGGGATCAAAGCCCCTGGAATGGGATCAAACCCCCCTGGGATTGGATCAAATCCCCGGGATGGGATCAAAACCACAGGAAACGGGATTGAACCCCCGGAGACGGGATCAAACCCTCCTGGATTCCGGACTTGCCAGGAGCCAGCCTTTGATCCCACGGAATTCCAGATGGGTCCAGGACCCCTCCCACATCCCACCCTCTCCCAGGATCTTCCCCCCTCCCCGGCCCCTCTTCCCAGGGGAATTCCCGGCGGCCCCTCTTCCCGGGGAATTCCCAGCACTCCGTGAGCCGGCCCCCGTTCCCAGGGAATTCCCACCTGGAATGTGCGGGCGCTGAGCGTCCTCTGCCCCTCAGTGGCCCCGCGCAGCTCCGAGTCCAGGCCCCGCAGCAGCGTCTCCGTGTTCCGCACGTACTGAAGGTCCCGGAACGTCCGGAGATCCAGGACTTCCATGGACTGGGAGATGTTCTGCACCTGGCAGGGAGGGAGGGGAGGGAGGGGTTCGGGATCATCGACAGCCCCGGGAATTCGGGAGAGCAGGGAAATGGCGGGGGGGGGGGAGGAATTCCGGGAGATTCCAGCCCGGTGTTCCCATCCTGTTCTGGAGTCCCCCCGTCCCAGTCCAGTGTTCCCATCCCAGTGTTCCCATCCTGTCCTGTGTCCCCATCCCATCCCAGTGTTCCCATCCCATCCTGATCTGTTCATCCCCATCCCAGTTTCCCCCTTCCATCCCAGTCTCCCCATCCCATCCCATCCCAGGGTTTCCATCCTCGTGTTCCCATCCTGCCCTGGCATCCCCATCCCATCCCAGTGTTCCCATCCCAGTCTCCCATTCCCATCTCATCCTGGTCTCCCATTCCCATCCCATCCCAGTGTTCCCATCCCATCCTGGTCTGCTCACCCCCATCCCAGTTTTCCCATTCCATCCCAGTCTCCCCATCCCAGTCTCCCCATCCCATCCCATCCCAGTATCCCCCTCCCATCCTCTCCTCGTCTCCCCATTCCCATCCCAGTCTCCCATTCCCATCTCATCCTGGTTTCCCATTCCCATCCCATCCCAGTGTTCCCATCCCATCCCAGTGTTCCCATCCCAGTCTCCCATTCCCCTCCCCTCTCCCACATTCCCGGGATATCCCTGCCCTCCCCAGTCCCTCCTTTCCCTCCCTCCCTCTCTCCCGTTGTTTGTTTTCCAAACTCCCTTTTCCCAGCCCGGATTTCCCCCCCCCTTTCATCCCGGCCCTTTTCAAAGCTCGGGAAGGAGCTTTGCCGCCGGAACCGGATCCGTCGGGAATTTTCGCGGAGCCGCCGCCTCGGAATAAAAAAAACAAGGAGCGGCTCCGGAAAAAAGGGAAAAAAAGGAGGAAAAAAGGCCCCTTTGGATGCGGCGGGTTTGTGATCAAAATTTAATGGGAATTCTGGGAAAAGCCGGGGAACGAGGCGGGAGCGGGGAGGGGGATCTGGGGATTCCACGGGAATGGGATCGTTCCCGGATCCTCATCCCGGGAACCGGTGCAGGGATCCCTGGGCCTGGAATTCCCACAGGGATCCCCGGACCTGGGATTCCCACAGGGATTCTCATCCCTGGAATTCCCACATGGATCCTCATCCCTGGAATTCCCACAGGGATCCTCATCCCAGGCCCCCCCCATCCCATATCCCACCGGGATACGGAATCTCCCGGCTGGAATTCCCCATTCCCACCCCAATTAACCCCTTCCCTCCCCTCATTAATGACCCCCCTGGGCATTCCCAGCTCCTCAGCGATCCCAGTCGACATTCCCGGCTCCCTAAGGATCCCAATCAGCATTCCCAGCTCGTTCCCGATCCCGCTCAGCATTCCAGGCTCATTCCCAATCCTGATCAGCATTCCAGGCTTGTCCCTGATCCTGCTCAGCATTCCCGGCTCCTTGATGATCCCGATCAACATTCCCAGTTCCTTGATGATCCCAGTCAGAATTCCTGGTTCCTTAACTATCCCAGTCAGAATTCCCAGCTCCTTAACGATCCCTCTCAGCATTCCCAGCTCATTCCTGATCCTGCTCAGCATTCCAGGCTCATTCCCGCTCCTCCCAGCATTCCCGGCTCATTCCCGCTCCTCCCGGCATTCCCGGCTGACCTTTTCCATGAGGAGCCGGAGCTGGTGGCTGCGCAGATCCCGGGAGCAGGATCCTTGGACGGGAATGACGGCGGTGCAGAGACACTTCCCGTCGGGAGCCTGGGCCGAGGTGAAAACCTGCCAACCCTCGTCCGGGCTCTGGAAAAGGGTCTGGGAATACAAAACACCGGGAAGGGGTTTCCCGTTCCTCAGGGATCCTGGAGCCGGGAGGGACCCACCCAAAAAATCCTCCCCCAGGATGGAAAATCCCGCCCGTCCCAAGGAATTCCAGGCACATCCCAACCCCCCTCCCCATCCCAGACCTTGGTTTGGGCGCTGGAAAAGGGGCTGGAAAAACAGGAAGGGGAATTTGAGGGATCCAGAGGGATCCAGAGGCGCGATCCCGCCGGGAGGGACCTCCCCAAAAAATCCCATCCCAAAGAATTCCAAGCACATCCCAAAGAATTCCAAGCACGTCCCACCACCCTCATGGAGGGAAAAGGGTCTGGGAGAGGTAGGATCGGGAATTTCGGGGATCCAGAGGGATCCGGAGCCGCGATCCCCCCGGGATGAACCCCCCCAAAAAATCCTCCCCGGGGCTGGAAAATCCCAAAGAATTCCAAGCGCATCCCAGACCCCGATCCAGGCTCTGGAAAAGGGTCTGGAACAGCCCTCGGGATCCCGGGAACTCCCCCA